TATAAAAAATTACAAAAAATGAATTTTAATGAAAAACAATATTTCATAAATTATTAAATTATTTCCTCTGTTTCGACGATACTTTAGGCAATGGTCTGGTTCTGAGTATTGGAGTGCCGGTGCTCTGAGTTTTAGCTACCGGTGCCCTCCTCGCCGATCCATTAGCAGCCTCTTTATGGTGAGATCTAGTCTTGGGCTGCGGTTGCGATACAATACCATACGTGGGATTGGCTGACGACTTATTACTAGTGTCGACACTCGCACCGGTAGTTTTAGGCTGAATGTGAGTCTTCTGAAACTTTCGGGTCAACTCGAGCTCCAGAAGTTCGGCCTCTTGTAGACAATGGGCCACTAAATTGGTTTCGGCGTCTATTTCCGCCACCAAATCCTTCACCGATAGGCTGTCGTCACCGGAATTAATGTCCGGGGATTTGACCGAAAAGGGCGACACTTTGGCGATCTTCTCCTCCGACTTACGGCTATTTAAGTGCAAACTTAGCGCTCGATTCGACACTTTCTCCACTTTTCGCGTGAACTCCTGCCTCTTATTGTCGGCCACTTTGATGGGGATGTCCTCAAAGGGCACCGAATCGTAGATGTGATGATCGTTCGCCACTTTCTTTGTCGCCACTCTCTTCGCGGCATTACTTCTGCTATTCATTGGGTTAGTCTTCGCGCGACTGTTTGCCGCAAAATTCTTGGGAACCGCTCCTTTGGACGCGATGTCACCGACACTTTTGTCACCTCTGGATCCGTCGGTCGACTTTCGGGGAGCACTAGTGAGCCGAGAGGACAGTTTAGGTGGCGGTGCGATGGGCTTATCGAACTCAAACACAATGATAGCGCCGTCTTTGATCTTTTGCTGACAGTCCGGCCCCAGTAGTGCCCAACTCTGGCAGTGGACCACATGATTGGCGTTTTGAATCATATATCGCTCGCAATACTTCTGCATTTTGGTGACCAGTCGGGCGAACAGGTCGTTGAACGGGCCGTAACTGAAGCCGTCGTCGTTGAGTTCGTGGTTCTCCTGAAGCAACAGAATCTTATTGAGTTCAATGAGCGCCCGACACGACACGTCTGGACACAGTTTGGTCATCGCAGCCAACAGTGTCTGCTCCAACTGCGAGATATCCCATGAGTTGCCTCTTCCGAGGGCCAGGAAGTCTTTGCTGGTGACCACGCGGTCGTAATTGGTTGCTATGGCGTCACAGCACTCCTCAATCAGTTTCCCCAATATGTTGAACACCGGCTCCGACCACTTGACCCTCGGCTGAGCCGCTATCATGCGCTCCGTCTCCAGCGTAGTCTTCAGCACATTATCGGCCGTCAATTGTTTGACTTTCGTCTGAAGGCATGCGTCGGTCAGAGGCGGCGATAGCGCAGCGAAGGCCTTGCGATTCCACACTTTGACGAAGTTCTTGGCCGACCAGTTGAGGCACCGGTGGTAGAGGTCGTCGAGTCCGCAACGGGCGCACAGTTTCATGCATTTGATTATATTGACGACACAGTTGTCATCGCACGGCGCGTGAAAGAAGTGGCACCGATTGACCATCAGTTCGTGGACAACGATCTCTTTGAGACTATCCATCGCCAGTACGTCCGACAGGAGCGCCAATTCAGACAAATCCAGTTTATCGGGAAGTGTTAGACAACCGCTGTATATGTGACACAACGCGAAGTAAACGCTGTTATAAGTAAATCCCTGCAAATCCACGCGATTAGAGTCCGACTCAATCCAATTGCCTTTAAGCATGGCCTCGAAGTAACGGCACCGGGAGGTGAGTATGCATTTGTGAGCCTTAATCTCGCGATCCTTGACTCTAATGACAATATCGGTGTTGACTTGTTTGACAAACATCTTAAGCAAGTCTTCGCCCAATTTCGAGCAGCTCTTCATATTTCGAAAGGTCTGCGAATCGTTTAAATCCAAATCAATGTCTTTGCCCTCATCTGAAGCCACAGATTCTTCATCTGAATCACCGATGAAATCATTTTTGCGTTGATTATCGTCGAAGGGATCAATGGAATCGCTTTCGTATGAGTTCTTCGACGAGCTCTGGACCGATATATTCATGCATTCATTGTAGGCTTCGCTGAACGAGTCGCTCGACGACAAACAACTCGACTCGATGTCCACTTTCCGAGCGCCCAATCCTTTCATCTTAAGGTACGGCAGCTCTTCGTTCACAACCCTCTGAACTTCCGGAGGTTTGCGAACAATAGGACTCATCGGGAGTAACGGTATGTCATCGACGGTCTTAATGTTGGGCAGCGCCGAGTCAACAGATCTGATGAGCACAGCGTCGGCCGAATTGCGGGCCCTTCTCTGGTTCCTGGCCTCACATGACCTCTGGTTTGATATCTTATTTGGTCCGCCAGTCAGTGGAATGAAATCAAAGCCCTTTCGCTGATCATCTCTTGTGGTTCGCGGCCTTTGGGTCTCTTTGGTCTCATCCGTCGCTTCGTTTAATAGTTACTTGTCGCTTTTGTAACTTAAGTTACTGAATAAGACGCTCAGTAATCGAAACCCGCTGAAAACCGGCTAACACAGTAAGCAAAGTAAGTTAAGGAATGTGAGTTACCATAGATTGTTTAGAATTTCATCATTGGTTTTGCACTTATTATCACCGTTTTTGAGATCATAATTATTGTCATCGGAATGTATTGACGTCAAGAGTTCGAAAGTGCCGCTCCTCACCATTTGTCGGCCGACTCCCGACGAGGTTTGCCTCTCATTCGCGTCTTCCTCGTCGCCGGAATTATTGAGATTTCTTTCGTATTCATTGCGCTCGTCGTCCGAGCGGTTATTATCGGAGTTTACGCTTAAATTCATATGAGATTTGATTTGTTCGTCCGCTTCTGTCATATCGTTGCTAAAAGTTTTGTTCAAAATCTCTATTTTTGACATCAATTCTGTTTCGTCTCTTTGGATGTCGTCTGACGACGGGTTTGAATATATCTTTTGAATCAATTCCTTTAATTCCGATTCCTTTATTTCGTTATCAATGAACAGCGAAAACATTGAATTCAATGACTTATTCTGCGAGTCATTAGCTTTGGGCGACTTTTGGCCGATTGTGTCATTCGTTTCATTCAATTCCTTACACTCAATGGTATCTAACAAATCGATTTCATCATTGGTTTTGCACTTATTATCACCGTTTTTGAGATCATAATTATTGTCATCGGAATGTATTGAGGTCAAGAGCTCGAAAGTGCCGCTCCTCACCATTTGTCGACCGACTCCCGACGAGGTTTGCCTCTCATTCGCGTCTTCCTCGTCACCGGAATTATTGAGATTTCTTTCGTATTCATTGCGCTCGTCGTCCGAGCGGTTATTATCGGAGTTTACGCTTAAATTCATATGAGATTTGTTTTGTTCGTTCGCTTCTGTCATATCGTCGCTAAAAGTTTTGTTCAAAATCTCTATTTTTGACATCAATTCTGTTTCGTCTCTTTGGATGTCGTCTGACGACGGGTTTGAATATATCTTTTGAATCAATTCCTTTAATTCCGATTCCTTTATTTCGGGGGGAATTCTGACAGAATATTCGTTAGTTTGCGAATTGTATGCATTTTTATTGAGATTCAAGTTTAGGAGTCGAGTGTATAGGTCGGGCACTCGGGCCAGGAGTAGGCAACTGTGCACTCGTTTCCGGTATTTGCCTCTAATTATCGAGAGATCGGCAAACGATTCGCTACCAAAGAGGTCCGCGATTTGAGTCAACAATTCATTGGCTATTTTAGTCTCTAATCTCTTGAACTCATTCCGCGATTTCTCCAAAAAAGCATTTGTCGGATGTTTTTGATTAATTGAATCACTTCTTAACGACTGATGTCTTTGCACTGGTTTTCTTGACTGAGGTTTCACTGGATTTGTATTGGCTTTTGTGGACAAACTTTTCTTCAATTCATTGGTAACTCTTTTGCGAGTCGAGTGATTGGCCATTGGATTCACGGGTGATATGAATGCGACAATAATTACATAGTCTTTGGTTCTCACGCTTTAATTCCATAGAAATGTTGTGCGAAATGTTTGCCAAAAAACTGCCCCCAAAATGCTCTATACATTGAAATATTGAATATATTTATTAATTGGATTACATTTGTGAAACTAATATTAAAACTAAATATACACCATGATAATTTATGAGCTAAATATTAACATAAATATTAACAGAATTCTTGTAAAATTAAGAATTGTTTAAAGAAATTATTCATCACTTGATAAGTAATTCAATATATTTTATGTTTACTTTACATATACACCAAGAATTAATGCAAAATAAATATACAGAATATTATAAACAATGATAATTTATGCGAACCGTTATAATCCAAGAATTTGGATGAATGTATGAATATTATAAACAACTCTGATTTGATTTAGCTATTTATGAAAATATTATCTAAATTTTCAATGATATCACTCGTGGGCACAGTTTTAAAACTAAAATTTTAAGTTATTTCAAAAAATTAAGCTGCTTTTTGCCAATATAGTGGTTAGCAAAATGACGTAGAGCACTCACCGTACGGTGTATTAAATTGCAAATTAACTTTTTCACACTATTGTTATCACATAAATACGACACAATTTTCTCAATTAATTATCGTTAAACGAGCGCTAATTTCCTATGAGTTATGTCTTATAATTAGTGAAATGCAATACAAATCAGAGAAAATACATTTCCATTCATTTATACATTAAACAGACTTTTAATGAATGTTTAGAAGAGAAGCGAAAACTAATCGATATTATAGTCGAATACTATGTATAAAACGGTTCAATGAATCACTACTTCTATACTCTATATTTGGTGTGCATTCAGACAACATGTAATTCCTATGAATATGGGGTTTGCAATGTATGGCATCCCTGCATCCCATTCCAGTGTACAGCCAACAGAATACCCTCCCAGTGCTCCCCATAGCCACGACACATATTCCATGGACTGCCTATAAACCAGATTCGCTGAGGCATTAATTGAGTCCCACACCCAATGCCAGTGCGCGGTGTGAGCGCAGCCTAACGGCCAGGTATGCAATGGTTGAAGTGGTTGTATATGCAATGTTCCAACGGAAAGGTACCCCAACCCACAACCAACTGTTCGCTACATAACTTTGTTCACAAACTATGGACTAGTGGTGAAGGGACTGGTATGCCATGTGAGTAATATGCCTGCGAATGAGTGGTAGTGCAGTGGAAAAGGGGTCACTTTATGATAGCCTGTTATTTGTGATACAATTATTATGTGATAGATAAGGGGATTACTATAGCAGTAGTGATACGATAGGAGTAGTTGGAGAACAGGTAAACATTTATTACAGTAGGAAATGAGTGCAATGTATGCCTTATAACTGAAAAATATAGTAATTATACACACATTCATAATATAAAAGACTTTTATTTATTTTTAAAATTTCTATCCAATGACTCAATTGTGGGATAAATTCATTAACGCGACGATTGTATTGAGATTTATACGAAATATTTCGACTTATTTTTAATCACAAACTTTTCTACGAGATATGACTTGATAGGGATAAAAGTTTGGGACGGACTGTGAGGTCACAAAGTTTTAGGCGTTTTTTGAGATTATTTTTACATTTATTTAAGATTTAAATTTGTTTTTATGTGTGAAAAGTGAGATAAAAAAGTTTTAATTCATCCAAACAGTGAGATGTTATGCTATGAAGTGATTGTAGTGTTAATTATAAGCCTATGGCATACATGCGAGTGTCAGTTCAATACCCCACCCCCTCAGCGCGACTTTTACGAACAGTGGGGTCACTATCATCAGTACGACCCCCGAAACCGCCCCCTCGAGTCTGACCGTAAGCCGTACGACACCTTCAGGTACGGCCCGACTCCCGACCCGACCCGTCGGCGCCTTATCGAAGATCCGGGAGATTTGCGCTGTAAAGAGGCTGTCCGTGAAGGTATGGCACTGCACCCCTCCAGCATCCCTGTCCCACTACATTCCGTAACCATTTCCTATGATATATCGCAGGTTTGGATGAGTTTATTACTGTCAACACGATGTACGGCAATGTGGTGGGCCGTGTGGTCTACCTGTGCGACGGGCCCGGGAGGGCTCTACACGATCGCCCACTTCCCGCTCAGTACAAGATATCTGGTTTGCCGCAGACCTACCACCCGGTGCGCACGTTCTGGAGGAATGTGACCACTTTTCTGGGCATTCCCTACGCCAGGCCTCCCATTCGTGAATACAATCTGAGATTTAAAGTGAGTTATCATTAGTTTTATCGTTAAATGAGATCACAATCTCTTTGAGTGGGAAAAACCAAATTCATAGATAACTAACAATGTGTCGGGTGTTTGCCTAACAGCCCCCTCAAGTGCCTACTCCGTGGGGCAGTATATTCGCCGATAGGTACCGAAACTCGTGTCCGCAATATATCCGATACATCGGCAAAGACTACGGCATTCCCATCACCGACGAGGACTGTCTGTATATGAATATATTCACGCCGTGGGCGGCCTCTAAGGTGCGCTACCCCTACCCCGTCATGATCTACATTCACGGCGGGTTCTTCGATCACGGGTCGGGCAACACATTCGCCGGCCATATGCTGGCCGCCTCTCAAGAGGTAGTTGTCGTTACTTTCAACTATCGTTTGGGACTTTTGGGATATATGGCGACCGCTGACAACGCCTCGGCTGGCAATTACGGCCTCTTGGATCAGATACAGGCCATCAATTGGGTCCGCGAGAACATCATTCACTTCAATGGAGACCCCGATCGGATCACTTTGTTCGGTCCGGATGCCGGTGCCGCCAGCGCCGGACTCTTGGCTATATCGCCTCAAACGAGAAGTATTGTTAAATAATTGTGTTTTTGTGTCAATATTTTTCATTGAATTCTTGAACACAGAATTTGTGAAGCGAGTGATAGCCCAGAGCGGGGCCGCAGTGGCCGACTGGGCCTTCATCAGAGACCCGCTGTATATGCGTAACACGAGTGTAGTGGCCGGGTATTCGTTTGGGTGCCGCACCAGACATACATATAATCTGGTGGAATGCCTTAAAAGTAGGAGCGCTATCGACTTCACCACAACCGAAGTTAAGGTAAATACAAGAATATTCTTTAAGTTACGAATTGCTTTCACTGACCGTTAACTTACTTCATTAGCCGGACGTGGGTTGGCTGGCGTGGGCACCGGTAGTGGACCGTTGGACCCGCGAACGCGAGTTACAAACGATTCCCGATTTACCTGAGAATCTTCTCTCAGAAAATCGAGTCGATTTTGACCCGGAATTCGCGTACATGTCTGGAGTCACCCGAGACGAGGGCTCGCAATTTGTTTGTCAGTCTTTTGATAGACAATACTTATTTTGAATTCACTCTAAACTTATGGTTTGTTTTACTGAACATTTAGTTTCCAACGAAGAGCTCAAACGCAACCTTTATGTGATCAATGAGGAGATGTTACAGAAAAAGGCCGAAGAGTTTGTCCGCATCTATAACTACACTCTGGATCAGGAGTCGCTCATACGTGCCGTCAAATTTATGTATATGCCATGGAGTGACCCAAACAACTTGACTCTCATCAGACAGGGATATATCGAGGTATGCCCTGTCAATGCCCTCCCGTTCCCATTGATTCTCACTCTCGTATTAACGGTTCAGATGCTGACCGACTCGTACTTCACGGCCGGAAACGACAAAATGGTTAAACTTATGCTTAAGAACAATGTTAGGACATACATGTATGCCCTCAACTACACCATACAAGGTCTCAACCTACCGGCTTGGATGGGTATGTCCGTACAAAATCAAATGCAACCACAAATTCTTACCTCAAAAACTACTTGAATTCATAAGGCGTTCCACACGACACGGAATACCTATTGGCTACCGGCGCCCCATTTATGGACCCCAGGTTTTTCCCATCGGCTTTGCAGCTAAATCAGGCCGATTGGACGGAAGCGGACAGGAATATGTCTCAACTGATAATGGAGTCGTGGGCTAACTTCGCCAAATACCCGACCTGTAAGCCGGGTAACCCTCTGCTATGCGGTCCCACACCATACGCCCTGTTCAACACAATCGTATGGAAGCCGATGGAGCCGCAGAACCTGCAGTACCTGTCCATCAACTCGACGAACTACACGGGCTATTGGCATACGAGCACGTGGGAGACCAACCAACTCAACTCCATCAATATGAACGCCTGGAGCACCAGCACTATGTGGAGGGACTACAAGCAAAAGGCGTGTCAGTTCTGGAACGACTACATACCGGCGATGGTGGACCGCATACCGCCCACGTGGCCGCCCACCTACGAGCCCTACGAAGAGGAACTCCGTCTGTACCGGGCGGCCACTTGGAGTATATTGGCGGCGCTCATCGTATTAATAGTTTTGGTGTTTTTGTGTTCGTGTTTGTACTGTAGGGCTAAGAGGTATCGTATATTTGGTCTGTGATTGCGGCTTATAATCAATGATTTTAATGTTAGCTATCGTTACGGGGACGCAGCCATTGATGAATACATCAATATACCAGATATCGCCACAATGGGCACTCAATATAGCGCACCGTCCACTCGGGCTAATTCCGAGAGCAACTTAAGGTCAGTTCCTCTATTAATGTGCCAATTCTTGTTACATATTCCGGATATAATCGGCAATAAAACTGATTTGAACTAATTTCCCACTCAATGCTATTGACACCGGATTTGATACAAACTTTGTTTTAACTATATTTCAGTTTTCGTTTGAAGTCTGAATATCCGCGAAAGAAGTTTCAGTCCAATGATAAGATATACATTCCCAGAGACAAACACACGCAGGTCTGACCACTGGCCCCCTCCCCTCCCCGTCCACCCATAAACCCATACCTCAACGCTCAATACTATTGAAAATATTATTGAATATATGTTTTTATATATAATTTATATTATATTTTATGTGTTTATACAAAGTATATAAAACTTTTAAAAACTTTTTATAGTCAATAGAGACGAGACTTTCGATTATAAAAAAATGTTTACCGTATCTACGCTTGAATTATACGCTAACATGTGATCGCAAATCAAGTTTGACTTAAAACTGCCATTAAATGACATTCTTAACGCTCATTCAGTCAATCCATATTTCAGTATTCATTGCAACCGATCGTTTGAATTGTATTTACAATCGATTAAAGTCTCGTCTCTTATGATTCATTTCACACAATCATTCGCTACGAAAATTCACATTAATTTTACATAAACTTTGCAACAAATTAGTGCCTATTCTTATTGTATAGAAAATTAATATAAACAAAATGTCACAACAAAATAGTTTAATTGTGTATAGAATTTGCATTTTGTAACCAAATGTTATGTTTTTATACCAAAAAGACATATCGATCTCAAACACGAATAAAAAATTTTATGTCGTTTTTTGTCAAATAATTGCATAAAAAAAGTTTAATATTTGTTTGGACTCACAAACGGGTAAACACTGATACTGTTACCGGTATTAATTAAACAAAATAAGTATTAATAATTAATAATTCAACAAAAAAAGTGTTTAAACAAACACTGAAATACAGTACACACCCGACCCGCACACACACACACACACATAGCACCGGTCTTTAACACCAAATAACTACTGTCTCACCGGAAATGACACTCAATTAAATTGACGCGTTTTTTATTCAAAACACAATTAATGACAATTAAATATAACTACAAAATGACAAACAGATAATCAAATGGTAATAAATCTAATGACTAACTAATAGTTGACTTCTTTTAGTTTCACGAAACGCGAGATAATTATAACGAACAGAATGGAGGAGAGGGTGAAGAGGAGGGCAAAGACATAGAAGGTTTGCTCGTCGAAGAGCTCGTCAAAGGCCGGGATCTTGTGGTAGAGTTTTTGCAACAAACTCATATCAGTGGCCAAATGGTTGACATTATGTCCGCCGTGTTTAGACATGTCCTCACACACCAAACCTCCAATTCCTGCACTTTATGTCTCGCTTCTGTCGCTTTGTGTCAATCGGTTGAGTATTTGATTGTAGTTTTCGGCGATTTCAAGGGTCGACAATAAACTCGTCTTAAATATGATTCGTTTACCACTTTCTGCACAACAGATATCACCAGAAATATAAGACATTATAAGCGACCACTAAAAGACGCGATACACTCGTGTCTTAATACAAGATGACTACATACCCAGCGATACAGTAATGGTTGGCTCTTCGCGTTTGCAGACAATATCACTCTTAAGACCACACTTGGGATTCGTTGCCCTGATTTTCGGTTCACTGATTGCTGTCAAGAATTGTCTGCAAAACAATACCACAAAAAACAAATTAACAAATCATTACACAAAACGACAATCGCATCGATGGCGAGACACAGACCTAATGGACGACACGTTTGGGTGGAAGGGATCGAATCGGACGTCCACTCTCTTCACGGACTTAAGGCTCACGAGTTTGAGCTCATTCTTGAGTTGTCTCTTCAGGGGATCCCTAATGACGTGAATCCAGGGAGGGGTTGGCGACGACAGGAGTGTCGAGAGGCTGTAGATCTTAGGCTTTATAGACATGACGACCGCTGTATTCGTCACTCAATAGCAATATAGCTATAAATATCTCTTCAGATTCAACGCAATCGATGGTTTGGTGACGAAAGTCGACACAAGAGTTCACAACAGATCCCACCGACAGGTGATCCACGCTTTCAGACACTAATAACGTGTGGGAAATGTTTGCTCAGAAAAAGTTGTCAAACATTTGCAAACAAATTATTTTCCGCACTAATTATAATCACAAATGTTTAGCCACTGATTGTCGACACAATTAACACTGATTTCAAAATGAGTGCATATTTTGCAAACAATTTCACAGTTTATAGTGATTTGCATTCAACGCATACATCGGCTTAAAAGCATTGGTTTCCATAGAAACGCAAAACACAGACATTTTGTTACAGACTTTTGTCACTCAAAGCACACAAAACAACACAACTCTTCGCACTCTTCGGCCGCCCATCGGATCCCGTTATCTGCTGTCAGCCACCGATTGTGGGCCACAGTCAGACACACGACAAGACACGTGCGAAACGCCACCGAAATCCTGAATCTGTTGTCAGTATTAGTGAGCGAATGGTTTGACACCAAGAAGTGCGGCCCAAAGACGACCACTTCCTCCACACCGTCGGCAGCGATGGTTCGCAGCCGTAAAGAGCGTAACGATCACCGCGTGGACCGGTTTGGACACAATAAGTATCGACACAACAGCGACAGGTATGGCGGCGGTGACAGACACTCGTCGATCAGCACCGATAGACACCATTCCTCGCGCAAGAAGTCGCACCACAAGAGTCGCCGCCATTACGAGAAGTACAGGTCTAGGAGTATATTGCGGGTGAGTTACCACCGATGACACGCTTATTATGGTGTCTGCGGTCTCTACTGCCTCCAGACATATGTTAGACTATGTGTTGTTGTCGTGTCTGCAATTGGTTACGGAGTCTCCTATGGACTCAATTGCATCGCAATTATCATATGATATGCTATTTATTTGACAATATGTTTGCCAAACAAAGTGATTGTCTCTCACAGACACCACTCCTTTACGCATCACTTAACGAGAAGAGCTATTGTTTCAATTGATCCCAACGTTCATACACTAAGTCTTTGTGTTTTTTGAAGTGGTTTTCTATTACTTCTTGAGTTTAATTCAAAAGATTAATACATTTGAGGCGAAGAATAAACAAGAAATGAAGCATTTTTTTGTCCATTTCTTACGAGTCTATGATATATCGTTTCAAAGTAGCATTGAATTCAATATCAGATCATACGATATGTGTTTCTATTATATAGAGTTTGTGTGCTTTTTAAACACAAGTTTTTTATTTATATATAATTTTTTCTGTCTGTTGCCATCACTTATGAGGAATGCCTTCCAATCACTGGATTTGGCAAAAGAACACAAAACTCTATTTATAGCTCACATTTCAAAAGGATTTATAGTTTATGGTGAGAATGAGTGCTGTTTGGCAACGGATCGCATCTCAAGTCTATACAGACTCTCTCGCAGTCTCTCTCTCTCTCTCTCTCCCTTTTCATCGCAACGAAACGTGAGGTTGAGATGTGTTTCTTAGAGTTTACATTAGAGTTAAAACAGATATTTAGTCATAATTTTTGTGTCCAAACACTTCGCACAGCAATGGTTGCGATGAATTGTACGCAAAACCACGAACTCTTCACGAGTTAACTAACCCTTCATTCAATTTTGTGTGCGTTTTCTCAGTCAGAGTCACAGAAATACTAAGCAATGACTCCTAGTTTGATGTCTTATTTTTACTGCCGATTGCAACGGCTATGGGAAAGGGATGACTGATTCATAAGTCACAACCTCTTTGTTTAGCCAAACATTTAGTTCTTGTGTTTCGGAGAGTTTAAGTCGTTTCTCAAAAGTTGAGAGAAAGAGATACCACTTATTATTATCTCTGTTTTGATTAAATGTTTATATTATTGTTACGCAAGACATGTATTCATACAAATACAGCAAAAGAGATATTAGGGATAAGTGTCCGTCTCTGTGGTCGCGCCACGACGAGCACAGTGTCACCACTGCCTCATCGATGACCGGGTCATCGGCGGTGATGTTGAGGTCGTGCTCCAGTTTTCTGCACCGATTCTCCACACGTCTTAAACTCCAGACAATCACCGCCGACGAGCAAAAGCAGAGACTCGTCACCGATGAGGACTATGTAATGAACAGACTTTTACGCAAAAACACAGTATTTTTAGATTAAGATTAGAAATCGATTGCTTTGTAATTAAACACAAGCCTAACAAATGCGGTATGTTTTGCCAACCTATTTACACTATTAACCAAATGCATTGCATGATTTGTATTTGTGTATATTTAGCAACTTTTCATAGGGTTTATAATTCTGTGCCTTTTTATGTATTTATTAAT